AGAGTTTGTCAAAGTGGAAGGAAATTTAAAGCTCTGTAGGTGTGGAGAGGAAACCCTGCTGTGCAGAGAATTCACATTCCAAATGATCAAACCTCTTCTCCTGAAAATAATACAAGAAAAGTGCATGGCAAATAACTTTTATGCCTACTAGACATGAATCCAATCTTTACACAGTTGTATCCTGCTGTCGCTGTGCTGTGTTTAATCTGGCTTTCAGCAGCAGCCAGGAGCAATTCTGGGTTGACACCACTGGAATTGCACAGAATAGTGATAGTCTGACCCTTCTGATGTGTGCATATGTTCTGCATACGTTTATGTAGGTGGCCAGTACCTGATTTTTTTTTTTTAATTATTATTTTTTTTTCCACTCTTTTCCACCCATGTAAAGAGGATTTCCTGCATGGGCTGCCCATTTATGAAAGGCACCACAAATGGTACTGTATGCTACAGACAGCCCTCGCCCTCCTGCCGTTCTCTCTTGGTTAACACCATGACTCAAGGGAAATCAATAGATCTGATCTTCAGCAAAAATCGGGAGCTAAAACCACAGGGGCTCCCAGGGAACAAGCCCAGCTACTGACCTTGCCTGGTGAGATGGGCAAGTGGAAAATCCAGGTGCTGAAAGTGCTCAAAAAACTGTCTCAGACATAAAAAAGGGTGATAAAATACACCTAGGCTGAGTGGTCTGCAGCACTTAGATTTCAAGCAGCTGCAACATGTAGCTATTTTTTCAGAAATCTGAAAACAAAGCCAGAGAGTTTTTTTTAAAAAAGGATCTATGCTTTGCTCTTGGATGTTATAAATAGGCACTGCCTCAGAGAGCACTGGGGACAGATTTCACACGAGACCCACTTCTTGGCATTGACACCTCCCTGGGGAGTCACTGAGGGCAGGGGAAGGGGTTGCAGTGATTACAGTGAGCTTTGGAGCAACTCCAGTGCACAGGGGGGCCAGGCTAGGTGAGCCTGGGGACCAGCAGAGAGCCTGCCATGCAGGAAAGGGGCAGGTCCAAGGACTCAAGCTGGGACCAGGCTTTTTGGAGGGTGGAGGGACTAAATGGATATTTGGCTAAATAGACAAAGCACTTGCTTTTCTTAAAGGAGAAAGATGTGTAGAAATGCAGTTTCCCTGTTGCAGCACACCCCATGGTGTGAGCCTTGGGAGAAGGAGCAGGGCTGAGTTCAAACTCTTGTTCCTGGAGCACCAGGGGAGAGTCTGTTTCCTGCCTAACTTAGAGCAGCCCCTTGGCTACTCGAAATCAGCACTTCTCAGCTGTCTTACATCTCCTTTCCTGTGATAGTCTGAGCCTGCTGGCATCTAGTTTGCATACATTTACATAAAATACATTTATTTGCATAATACACTATACGCACACGGTCAGTTTTTTCCCCTGCAACCCACCCTAAGCAATAGGTGCTTTTATCTCATACCTGTTTGCATCTCATTTCTCACCTCTGACTGGCCATCGACCTTTTATTTGCCAGGATGCAGTTGTTCTGCATGCAGGTTCCTGCTCTTCCCAGCAAACTTCCACCGTAGGTCCCTAGCCAACCCTTGCCACGCCTGCTCCCCTGGTATGTGCAGAGCAGCGCAGCTCTGCACCCCAGTTGTTGGATATAGGGGTGTGGTCATGTCTCTTGGCTACAAAGGTTGCTGGAGGGGATGAAAGCGCTTGGAGATTGGTGTGGGCACACGGGGTTGGTGGCAGGGATGTGGCACATGCACGTGTGTTGAAGTGCTGAGGAAGAGGAGGCAGAGAAGTGGTGAGAGGCATGGAGGGGTTGTGGAGGTCACGGCTTGGGTGTGTGGAGGGGGATGTGGTGAGTCTTGCTGGGAGAAGTGCAGGTAAGGAGGGATGCTGGGGCTGCAGGCAGCACGGGGGTGAAAGCAATGGCAGCAACTACATGTGGGATTGCAGGACCTCCCTAGCTCACAGGTATGAGTGGCTTTGGGGCCTCTCTGCCCCATGGAGCAGCTGCATCAGGCATGAGGAGCCCCTAGCTGCTCCACAGGGTTCTCTTTGATGATTCTTTTCTCCTCGCTCAGGGCTTGCAGGCCACAGGAGGCTTCTGTCCTGCCAGGCAGACGTATCAAACAGTTTGTGTTGATTTGCAGGTACCAGAAATAGTCATTTGCATTAGTGTGCAAAACCTCTGACTGACCCCAGCCATGGCTCTTCCACACTCGCATTACAGCTTCATCCAGTGGTTCTTGGTGTAAATCCGTGGGGTTTACACTCATTTTATGAAAACAGTTGCTCTGGCAGTCCTGATTTATGCTGCATGAGCTGAGGGGTGAGCCTGTTGTGCCCCAGCAGTGCCGTTGCCCTAACAAGACATCAACTAGCCCACCACGGGATCCTCTCCCTGCTCCCAGTTTCCCCCAGGACCATTTCTGCTGCCAGAGCCACCACTTGAGGGCTGCCAGGTGACACGTTGTGCCCTTGTGTTTCCCAAGCTGATGACTGTCGCTTGTTGGGCAAGCTCCCCAAGGTGAAGTGCTTGCGGAACGGACGCCGAGAAGGTAAGAGCTGCCCGCCCACAATCCAGGTGAGAAACGGAGATTTCGGGAGGTGTGAGAGTGATGGAGTGGGGGGAGATCTGAGCGGGTGACAAGGAAGGTCAGCAGCTCCTGGGAACGGGAGCCCGGATAAAAGGAGATGTGATAAAGAGCCGGGATTTGAAATGCATCTCCTCTCTGGCTGAAAGAGATGGGACTATTAAGCTATCCAATGAGGCTCAGCTGTAGCTTATTAGCCAGAAAATTAGAACAGGCAAAACAAAGCCCCGGGTCTTATTTTTAAAGATGTTTGCTCTAATGAAAGAGCTGAGATCTGCTCCTGCTGCGTCTGTGGGATTTTTTTTTTTGAAAAAATAATTAATTATATTTGAAAGATTAAGAAGGGCTATATGGAGGATGAATGTATGCCCTACTGGGCTGCTGCTGGCAACCTTGTAGGACATTTCCCAGCTCCACACAGTCTGAATGGGTGTTTTCAAGTCTTGCTTTGCAGTATAAAGCAAACAAAAAACAAAGAAGTTTTTTTCATGCTGAGAATTGTGGGTGTTACTCCAGGTCTGTGTCACATTCAGGAGACTGAGGAGTAGAGAGAGTTTGTCTGTAGACTCTTTCTGCAGGTTTCAGCTTTGCAGGTCTCCTGTGTTGTTAAGGCACATATGTGAGGGAGCATTGGGTGGACCTGGAGGTGTTGGTGTTTTATAAAGCAGTTAGAATTTGGAAGTCCAACCTGGAGGTCTTACCTCACTTAGTAGGTCACTGAAGCTCTGTCCCTCAGATCTCCAGGGTTTGGAGAAGGCTGGGGTAGGTACAGCAGGCTGTGCCTACTCACAAGGTCTTGTATGTTGCAGAGAGAGATATGGGGACATCCTGTGTTGCAGGAGGCGACCTTGGCAAATGCTGGATTGTTCCAGGCTTCATTCTCCTGTCCTTCTCCCTCCTGCTCAGAGGCTGTTCCTTGGTCCCTTACCTCTAGGGAGCTTTAATATGAAAGTCAGTGACACCCTCCTGTGTGGAACGGAGATGCAGCTTCTCCCAAAACTCTTCTCTCTTTATCTCTCCCTGTCTCTCCTATTACTGCTCTTTCTCATTCACCAAGAAGCTCTGCTCCACTTGAGCAAACTGCCCGTCCTCCCATTTGCCAGTGGACCATGTCCTTTCTTACGGTGCAGTTCCTTTGAGCAGTGGCTGCAGGCAGGAGCATTGGAAAGCTGGCTGCCTCCTGTATAAATAGACACAGAGCATCTTTAAGGGCAGTGATCTTGTCAAAGAGTCTGGTGTGAAATCCATGTGTGCAGCTGTTTTCCGTGACCTCCTTCTTTGTTCATTTTTCTGTCTCATAAGCACATGCAGCAATCCATATGCAGCTCTGAAGGACTCTAAATTTGCCATCAGGGCTCTGAGAAGCCAGGTGGGCTTTTAGCACTTTGAGAGCCAATCTTCTTTCCTTAGTGGAAAATGTGTCCTCATTGAGCTGCAGATCAGCAGTGCTCCCAGGGTGGGAGAGAGATCTGGGGGTCACTGGGACCTGAAAGGAGCATGGTGAGGGAAAGTCAGCAGTCTGAGAAAAGTCTAATTCTGGCACGAGGTGATCCCACCCTTGACTCCCCTGGCTCATTCCCCACTGACTTAGGTCTATGTTAGATTTATTACCTGCAGGGAGTTATGGAAGCATTTGGAGTCGTGTTTTGCCCCAGAAGGTGACAGCAGAAATAATTGCACAAATTAAGGATTGGCATAAATGCCATAAATCATTAATCTAGGTGGAGCCATTTATTTGCTTTAGTGACCTTGGGAAACAGTTCGTGTGCCTTGCAGCACTGGGAAGGAGGCAATGAACCTGAGCCATGTTTTATCTGAGTGAGATTTAGATGCTTCACAACCCAGGAGACGTGCGAGTGTAGGAGACCATTCTGGACCCATGCAGGAAGCCATGCAGGAGACCCAGGGATGTTCCCCAACTATCTGAGCAGCAGCTGATGTGATGTGTCCTTGAGCAGGTCTAATCCGGTCCCGAATCCGAGGTGCAGATATGGCACAAGCAGGAGTCCTGACCTTCCTGGACAGTCACTGCGAGGTGAATAAGGACTGGCTGCTCCCTCTGCTGCAGAGGATCAAAGAGGTGAGTGCTCCTGGGAGACCAGGGCCACCCTCAGGGGATGCACCACTGATGTCCAGCTCCTTTTCCCTCTCAATGGGAAATGAACCACCTAACTGTAACAAACTGCGTGCAAGCATTCGGGTGAGAAAAGGATGATGAGCTTTTGGGGTGCAGAGTGGCCTTTGCTCGTGTTCTTCCACCCAGCAGCCAGGTGGGGTTGTCTCCTTGACTGGGAGAGCGTGGAGGTGGGCGTGACAAGGTGCCTCCTGGGGCAGCGGGGCAGTAACTGGGAAGCACAGGTTGAGTGGTGAAAGGGGAATACATGGGCAGTGCTCCAGCAGAGTTTTTAATTAGGCTCATGTAAAATGCTCAGCGCTGATGATTTAAGGGAGTGACGGCTCCTTGAATAGGGGCCGAATTTAATTTCATGCAAATTAAGCGCTAATAAATTGATTTAATAGGATTTAAATTCTGCTGATTTCGGAGCAGACAATGACATTGGCCTCTCGCCGGCGGCAGCTCTCTCACCAGACGTGTGCATGGAGGCTCCTGGCTCCTTGTCACTTGAGCCAGTGGGAGCTCTGTGCAAGAGTGGTACAGGAGCACATGCTGTAGTACCCCACTCAAGCCTCCTAGCTGGCCAGCCCCAGGGTTCACCATTAAATCTACTCCATCGGTTGTTCCACTGAGCTTTTTTAAGGCTTTTTTTTTTGTCTGCTCTTACCCTGCCTGGTGACTTGCAGTCCAAGCAGCAAGAGAGACTTACTATGAAGGCTGTTGAGTGGCTTGCAAAGCAAGCAGGGTGTCTCTGGCTTGCTGTTTAACTGCTCGCAGAAGCTGCAGGATAAGGACAGAGAGTCCTCAGGTTCCTCTTTCCCAGGCCCACCGTACCCACCCTTTCCATCAGGGTTAAAATATTGATCAATGAAGTGTATGAAATGTTACTGCTGCCACCTTCAGGCTGTGTTAAAGAGATGGTTTTCCCACAGCTTCGGTGAGGATTATCCTCCTAGAAGGAGCATTTCCTTACTGTGTTACTCCTAGGAACAGTTTGCTTTGAGCTAACGTGATCTGAGTTTCAAGCAAAGGAGCAATGACTGGCTCTCACTACCACCAGCCATCCCGTGCATTGCTTCTTTCTTCTTTTCTTGGGCAGAGCAGCTATTCCCACAGCCTTCTGTGGTGGGAAACACCAGAGCCTGTGTATGCCACCATGCACCCCCATGGACACATGTGAAGGTGCCCCTTGGGTGCCACATCCAGCTTCCCTGGCAGCTGGTGGCACCTCTCCCCAGGCCCATGCTCACTGTTGGGTGTGGGCAGTGCATGCTCAGTATGTGGGTTTGGAAACAAGTGGGACTAGAAAGTCTAAGACCAAGTGATGGGGTGTAAAGGGAAGAGAGGGGGCCTGGGGAGTCTTGGCCCTGTGCTCAAGAGGGTATGTGTCCCAGGGAGCAGCAGGGGCAGCGTGTGTTTTGCACAATCACATTTGGGTATGTGAGACTGTGAGTGTGTGGGCACAGGCCCTTATTTTTACTTAGGGATCAACTATCTCTAAAGCCATTAGCGTTGGGTTTTGGTTGAATAGCTTCTCTAAAAATGTAATTATCCATCCCAAGATATTTCTACAGTAGGACTCAATGAGCTTGCTTCCAGAGTGGATTTACAAATGGCACTGGGATGAAACAATGGATGGTGACCTACTGCTTCCAGCTCAAGCATCCCTCCCAGTTTGATGCTCTCCTGGGGCAGAGGGAGGCAGGTGACGGGAAACTTTGGCCCTCTTGCATTGCCTGATGCTGATGTGAAGCCAGAGGAGCAACTGTGGCCCCTTTTGTTGACCCTTACAAGGTCATGATGTAGAGATTGGGAGACAAGCTGCAGTCAAAGTCCTTTAATAATGCTGAAATGTATCCATAAATTGGTTCCATAAATTGGTTTGTTTGAGAAGAGTATTGGAAAAATGCATTTTTGTTTTTTTGACAATTTGATGTGAAAGAGGATTGAAGATCTGGGTATCGTTAATATTAACAATGGCATGGGAGGGTAGAAAAAAAAGAAAAAAATCAAAAAGGTGAAACTGCCTATAATAAGATCTAGAGCTCAGCCCAAAATAAATCATAGCAACAGCTCCTGAGCTTGTCATGCTTTTCTTTTGAGGGTCAGAGAGACCTTTTTGAAAGCTTGGTAAATATAAATGTCCCCGTAACATGGCAGGGAAAGTGAGGCAGGGAGAAGGTTGCACTGCTGCAGGCTGCTATCGCTCTGCAGTAGTGCACTCAGCCAAGAGGTGGAGGGGATTTTCTCACAAGAAGTTGCGCTGTGCAGGGAGTTTGGGTGTGGAACTGAAACTGGGGATGATCGTGGGCTACTTGGAAGTGCTCACCAGTAAGGGGCAAGTTCTAAATGATTAGATACAATCCTTTTCCTGCAGTGTTCATCACACAAAGCAAATAGATGCTTTGTTTAAAACCTTTCCTCTACCCTCAGGCAACTGAAGGATGCTTGAGTATGTTGAGCTGTGGTAGTTTGGAGGACACCATGCAGCAGCTAGGACGGGTTTGAAAGGCTCATTGCACTTGGAGGTGACTTGAGTTTCTCCATGCAGTATGTAACTCAGTGTTGTTACGGATATACTGAGCTTTTGTCACGCTCATTTAGAAAACCTGAACTCTAGTCCAGCTCCCAGCTCATGGCCTTGGTTGCTTCTTCATACAGCTGCATTTGAATACTTCTTTGTTCAGACTAATTTCTAAAACAAAGTCTTTTGCAAGCCCCATGTATGCTCAGATGCTTTCCTTTGCATGGCTGTGAAAAAATATTTGATTTGGGAAAGGTGAAAGCTTGAGTTTGAGCTATAATTGGAGTTTGGGATTTTTTGAAAAGAAAAGGGGAGATAAGAGACAGTGAAAGCTGTGAGAGTCTCTTCCTCCTGTAGATACTTTTGTTCATAACTGTTTGTTTAATCTCTTTGCCCATAACAAGATGTTAATTAAATCACCACCAACTATTTAAAGTCATTCAGGTCTTTTTTTTTTTTTTTAACTCTCTCACACCTTTGGCAAAACTCAACTGTATTCCCATACTTTGTACATTTTAAAAATGCCTCTATTTAAGCTGCTTGACTGCCTGTGTTTTTCCTCTGTCATTTCAACTCTCTGTTTGTCACCTGACTTCTGAAATCCAGTAAGAAGTATTGAAGGGACGGGAAAAGGGTGATTTTGAAGGAGATGGATAGACCTTTGCATCCAGCCGTGTTTGGTGCTGAACACATGCACAGCCTGCAGAGGGAGAGGCTGTGGGTGAAGCCCAAGCTGGTGAGATGCTAGCTCAGCAGCCCAGCAGCACGCAGTCCTCTTTCCCGGGAAAGATGGTGCCTGCCTTCCTTGGCTCCCAGCAGTACCTCTGCCAGTTGATGCTGCTGCCATTAATTCCTTGGTTGAACTGGTGTGGTGGCTGAGGAGGAGGAGGCAGTGATGAGCACTTGTCCATGACAATACTCGACAAGATTTCTAGCCACCTTGTGTCTCCATGAGTTTAGAGCATCCCTTGAGCAGTTTAAGCAATGTCATCTGAAGTCATGGGTCATTTTGCTTCTGCTTTCCAGGATACCACCCGAGTGGTCAGCCCTGTTATTGACATCATCAACTTGGACACTTTTGCCTATGTGGCAGCTTCCTCGGACCTCAGAGGAGGTAAGTCCAAGCCACACACATGCCCATTGGCATCCATCCCATGGTATGAACATGCATTGGCCCAAGGAGCTGGTGGCTCTGCACCACACCACAAGCTCCTGCTGTCTTGCAAAAAGTACGTCAGTGCTGTTCAGTGCTCCCCGCTGGCTCTTTCCAGGCTATTTTAGAGACAGGTTAAGTGTGGCGTGAGCAATGGTGTTTGCTACAGTGGCTAAGGTGGTCAAGCAGGAAAGAAAGGTCATCTTGAAGTCACTCTTAGTAGCACTGAAAGCTGAGCTGCCAACAAGGGGAGATGGGGGACATCTAGGCAACAAACGGAGGATGTCAGTGTAGTGCTTATTAGTATGCCTGTGCTATTTGTAGCACGCAGTATCCATCAGAGCGTGTATCTGTGTGCACGAGGGGACAAAGTGAGGCTTCAGCAGCAGCTTTAATTCTGACTTCTCCTGCCTTTGGAGTGCTTGACTTTGCAATTGTAATGCAATATGTTATTTTTGGTTTGTAGGCAGTAGTGAAATATATTAGTCATTGGACTCTTCTCCCAAGAGCTGCATCTCCATGGCTTAAGGGATTTGAAAACGGGGAAAATACTCTGTCAAATGGGGCTTCTGCAGCCTGTATTGCCTCCTAACCCATACCCATTTCTAATTTCCCCATGGTACTTCTCTGCTTTGGTTTTAGGTTTTGACTGGAGTCTGCATTTCAAATGGGAGCAGCTTTCCCCAGAGCTGAAAGCCAAACGACTTGATCCCACCGAACCCATTAAGTAAGTCTCAAGGGGAGGAAGGAGGCACCTAAGGAACACGGAGCAGGACAGGCATCTCATCTGACATCATGTGTGTCACCATGTACCACAGCAGTGTGATATTCCTTCCAGAACTTCTAATTCCTGTGGCGTGCTCCTGGCTAGGTTGGATTTTGCAGTACTCCTTCACCTCCCGGCACTGAAGCCTGGGGATACTGCAGAGGTAGAAGGTGTATAGTGATGGCTGTTTGTATTTTGGTAGTGCCAAGGAGGCTAGCTGGTTAAGAGAAAAGCCCTGTACTCTAGACTCCTGCTTCTCTCAACTTCAGGCAGTGTCCTCAGCCCATTTGATAAAAATGTGGTGTCTCGTCCAGCCTTTCCAGATCAGCATTGCTCTTCTGGACCTCACTGAAGGTTCCTCAGAAATTAAAGATGTGCAGGAGGGATAAGTGAAACTGAACAAGAGAGATGCCATCTGTCCTCATGCTGTGGGATGGAGGCAGTCCTCCATTCTGCTGAGAATCTCTCCTGGCAGCCAGCCTGGTGCTGGTGTCTGCATCCCCAGCTGTGAAGCGCTGGCATGTGTGGTGTGGAGGAGACCAAGTGTCAGGGGAAGCTCAGGGCTTCAGAAGTCGTGCAGAGGAGCAAAGCACTGCTCCATCTTAGGGTGCTGTTGTTAACAGGAGATCTTGCTGGCTTCCCAAAGGTTCGCCTGGCATTTCTGGTAGTCCTGCCATGTAGTTCAGTGTGGAGATGAGCCTGCAGTGACCCTGGCTCCTCCCAGGCCTACACGAAGGCATCCACACTGTCTGCAACTGAATGGAGATGGGACTTGTGCCAGCAAATGACGAGTCTCCTCAACCTATCTTTTGGGTATGCCCCCTCCTTCTCCTCCTCATCCACAGACTTGCTCTGTGCAGTTTTTCTTAGCTAATCCAAAGAATGAAAAATAACCCTGTTTTGAAATAAGGATCACACAGCTAGTGATGGCTTTTAAAAAGCCCTTCTGAATTCACTCTGCCTTCCCCTCCCCAGTGGAATAGTGCTCTTAATAGGCTGACTCCAGGCAAAAAGCCCGTCTGAGTGAATAACCCCCCGAGTGCTAAGTGCATTTTTGATGCTGAAGCCTACAATCAGGGCTGTGAACTTTGGGCTCGTAGAAGCTGTGCTGGCGGGTGCATTAGCCAGTCATTAAGTGCCAGGCAAGTTGTGATTGACAGCAAAATACCAAGGCAGCCGAAAGAAAGACTCAGATGCTTTTTGAGGTGTGTTGTGCTTGTTTGGTGAGAGGAGATACACAGGTATTGTCCTGGTGATGGAAGAGGAGGCAAAGGGAGGGGCTGCTTCTGTGCATCCAGGTGCTGCAGCAGTGTTTGAGAGTCTGTCCCCATTTCCCTTACCCATTCTGCAGGACTCCCATCATTGCTGGGGGGCTGTTTGTGATCGACAAAGCCTGGTTCAACCACTTGGGGAAGTACGACAGTGCCATGGACATCTGGGGTGGGGAGAACTTTGGTGAGTCACTCACTCTTCCTCCTATGCTTTGTTGTGTTGGCTTCTCATCCTGAGTCATGCCAGATGGATACAAGATAATTTTGGACTTTACTTTGAATGCTCTGTGCGGTCTCCCTCACTTATATTTTTAAGTTATGGTCTCAGGTGAGTAAGAGATTCAATAACCATGAAGTGAGCAATTTTTGGTGTTCAGGACTCCCTGCCTTTGATGCTGCTTTGATTTTTCTATAGGACAATACCCAAAACCACAGAGTTTCCAGCTTTGGTGTTACCAACAGATGAGAGAACAGCACACACCCCCTCCTATACCTTTCTGATCTTAATAAAGCAAAGATATGTCTTATTCCATTGTGTGATGACACCATTTTGAAGCTCTGAACCGAGACATCAGTGTCTTCCTGAATCTGCAGAGTGCCTGAAACAGTATCTCCATCAGCATGATGCAAGCAGGTGGCAAAGTAGCATGGCTGCTGATTCATTCCTGTGTCACTGGATGGCCAAGCACAGCCAGGCTCTCCTTGACACTGTCATTTTTCATGCATAAAAAAAAAAAAACCCAAACTGTTAAGAGATGGCCTAAATTGGGTCACCTCTGCCAATTATCACAGGGTAAGATGGGCATTAAGAAATCTCCTGCATGCGAACTTGAGAGGGCACATGGAAGAGGTAACAGCCTCCCTTGTCCCCCATGTCAAGCGGATCAGGATCAGGATGGGCTCTTTGATCTTTGAAGCTGTAGTGATGCTGCAGACCAGAGCAATGGAGTGTATCCATGCAAAAAGGGGAGGCACTTACTGTCAGGGAGACAGATCAGAACCTGGTTTAAATAGCTCACACCTCTGGGGAGTTTGGCTAGCAAGGAAGGGAGGATCTTGTGTCCTAACACAGCTATGTTGTCAGTAATCCAAGGGAGCAGATGCTGCTGCCTTGCAGTAACCCAGCTGCTGACTGGCACTGTTGTTTCCCTCACATGCCTTTTTCCTGGAGCATATTTTATTTATTTATATCTCATTATGCAGTAGGATCTTGCTCCTTCGTGCTTTTCTCTCTGTGGGTGGCTGTCTTGCCACCGGGCTGACCCAAAACATCTGCTCCTCTGAGTGGGGTGGCTCTGAGGAAACCGAGGAGAGGAGTGGCAGCCCTCCTGCCCCCCTGCTGGATCAGTGGCCTGAACAAAGCATCCAAGAATGGAGCTAGACAGCAGAAAAGAGACTGCCATGCTGTGCCTGACCTGCTGTCCCTCTCTGCTTGTCACTGTGTGACTGCAGCCAGCCAGCCCGAGCTGATGCTGGGAGCTGAGCGCTGAGAGGGCAGCCTGCCCTCGGGGAGCTCCATCCTGGCAGCTGGCCTCATGCCCTGCCGTGGCAGGAGTCGTGCTCCTACGGGGCCTTACAGCCCAGCCTCCTGAGCATGATGTTCCCTTCACTGCTGATCCCAAAGGAACATACTCTAGCTGTGTTGCAGGGTGTGATGCTGCCCCAGGGCATTGGCGTGACAAAAGGGAGGTTAGCTGGAACAAAAAACTGCAGATGTACACAGCAGCAGGGCAGATCCCATCTTGCCCATGGCCCTGAGAGCAGAAGTGTGCCCAGCTCAAGGCTGGGTCTCCTGGAAGTGCAGCAGAGGACAGCGTGTCCCACCTGGCCTTTGCATGTAGGCGAGGGCAGCGGTGACCCTGCTGGCCCCGGTCAGCTCTGGGCAGGTGGCAGAGAGCAGGAGCTCACTGAGGGGCTGCTCATCTTGGGCTCGTGCAGTGAACCCTGCTTTCTCTGGTAGCTTAGTCCTGAGGGGATGCAGGGATCTGGTCCTGGGGAGCATCGCTGTTGCCTTTAATGTTATTTACTGGGCAGCTAGAGGGGGCTGGAGACCTCAGGCAAAACAAAAGCAAGCGTGTTTGAGTTAGGAGGAGGAGACTGTAGGTGTTTTACTTTTTAAATTTACTTAATCCCCTGTTGGTGAGTTGATGAGAAGGACTTGCAGGCCAGCAAGAGGCACTAAAGGTTTTCTGCCAAGCTAAGGCCAAGCCCAGTGCACCCCAGCACACACTGCTCACATCTCTCCTGTGGGTCACTCAGAGGGGCTGCTCACACTGGAGACCTCTCAAGGGCCAGCTGAAGCATGCTGTCAGTTCCTAGTCCAGGCAACTGGAGCTTCTCTGAGCTGGCCCCATGCCATGCCTTCACTGGTGCCTCAGTTTACCTCCTCCCGAGGCATTTTGCTCTCAGATGCCTGTCTGGAGGGGGACCTTGCTTGTTAACTGCCATGGATGGCTCTGTGGGTCATCCCTACTCGCTGAAACCTGTGCTTTAATTGCTTCTGCTGGGACTGGAGTAGGGTCTGCAGGGTGCAACATGTCTGAAGCAGAGCGCTCAGGCTCCTCTGTGTTCACAGTGCACAACACTCAGAGATCACCTCAGCCTACCTATTCCTTAGGCTTTAAATCAAGAGTAGGCAAGGAGTGACCGGTGCAAGTCTTACCCTTACAGAGCTTCAGGAAGCTGTTCTTCTCCCAGGCTGAGCAGGAGAGGGGCAGGCAAGACGCAGCAGCCACGCTGTGTTTCACGGCTGCTCGTCCCCCTTTAGCTGACACAGCAGCTCGGGCAGTGTGGCCAGCGCGTGGCACACGGGCAGAGCAGAGCCACAGCCACGTGCTGCCCACGGCTCGGGCGGCCGAGCACAGCAGCTTAGAGTGGCCACATCCTGCCGTAATCTCATTTCCCTGCAGCTGTGATTAAGGTTGCTCCCAATATAGCACCAGGACACGGCGCAAGGGCAGGATTTATGGGCCTGTTAATATCCAGCACTGGGGAAAGGGGTGAGGCTCCAGCTGCTCTTGCAGCTCTTGCCTTTAAGCACAGCAGTGAAGGCAAAGGGAGGGGATTTCTGCAAAAAAATACTTCTCCCTACTGTGCTTCCCCACCCACGCCTTTCGTGATCCCTGCTGCCAGGGCCAGGAGTCGGGGATGGGCTCAAGCCTTCAGTTTTGGATATCAAAGCCAGAGGGCTTGGTGGCTGTGCCAGCTTCCTGTGTCTATCAGCTTGGGAGCAGGGGGCGTCCTGGGAGCAGGGATGGGAGCGATGCAAAGGTGGCCCCCACCTCTGCAGTGATGTACACCTTGAGGCTGAGCCACATGTGCTGAGAGTAGGTGGCTTTGGAGGTCCAGGCTCCGGTTCTCCTTTGCTCCTCGAAGCTGTGAGTTGGTGTTGGAGGGATGGCAGCTTTATGGACTGGCAGAGGAGGAGAACTCCCATCCACGCTCCCCAAATGGCCTTCCTGCCACAGGCACTTTTCTTGCCAACATACAACCTGGGGACACGTCATCCTTGTGCTGGCATATGTGAGGGGACTGCTAGGAGCATGAGCTGGCAAAGATGATGGGTGGCCTCCTGTCTGAATTCTGTAGTTAAAGGTGGGGGAGGACTGAAAAGGAATTTGTAGTTTTGGAGTAAATACATGCTACATGTAGCTCTATGATAAAATAAGATACAAAGAACTGCAGAAGCCTTTTCTTTTTAATTTCATTTCTTTTCCATGCTGATTCTGTCTAAGTTTGACTTTCTGCTTAGCTGCAGATATAGCTGCAGATTCATAGCTTCACAGGAGTTAGGACCAGATGGACCCATTAGATCAGCCATTCTGCTCACCCGTCCTACCTTGCCAGCTAGGATTTCATCCAGCTCCCTGCCAAGAGCCCCATAACTTCTGATGTCAAATGTGCCACAGGCTCTTTTCCTCCAGAAGGGTCTGGTGGACCAGACAGAGAGCAGCTTGGGGCAACTGGGAGACATTTCCTGTGATGACAGCTTACCCAGATGTTTTTGGGATAATCCCTCCCACTGCTAACCCTTGCTTGTGTGAAGGTGTGTGCCTTGTTGGACTGCAATGTTGGCACTCACTGCCCAGAGTGTGGGCTGGAAAGGGTAAGCGCCTATGCATTTTGAGACGTGATGGATGCACAGCTCTGTTCACTTTGCAGAATCAGTGGTGGATTCATAAAGATAATGACGGTTGTAGTCATTAATAAACAGAAGTCGTGGCCTCTCCTAGTGAACTTGACAGCCCTTTGGAGAGAAGTGACTGAGACAGGTAGTGCAGAAGTAATTACTGGAGCACAAAACCAACAAGATGGTCCTGTTACGTTAAGCAGGGCTGCCTGAAAAGGGACCTACTTACCATCTTGCTCTTGCCATTGTGATGGCACCTGCTGTGCTGGAACAGGCAGGTTTCAAGTGCACTGACTTCAAACAGATCGCAAGAAGCTTTGAAATGTGCTTTTAAGGGAGTTGTGCCTAGGAAAGCCCCTCTGGTAATTGATTTACCCCAGTTTCATGTGGCAGAGAATGAAGTGAGAGGTAACACTGGGATCCAGCCTGCTCAAGGACAAAAAAAAAAAACGCTGAAGCTGCTTTTCTTGTAGAAATCTCTTTCCGTGTGTGGATGTGTGGAGGGAGCCTGGAGATCATCCCCTGCAGCCGCGTTGGACACGTCTTCCGCAAGAAACATCCGTACGTCTTTCCAGATGGAAACGCCAATACATACATTAAGTAGGTGTTTTGTACTTGCCTAGTTTTTGTGAAGCAGACTAGGGTACTGCCTTGCAGGGAGGAGGGAACAGAGAAGATGAGGAGGAAAGTTTATTTGGAAAACTTTGAAATATCCCTGGGCAGGGATCTCCTGAGCTTAAGAAAGTGCAAGTCAGTACGACTCTCCCTTAGGATTTCCACAGTGGTGAGAATATGACAGAAATAGGACGTTTATATGGTATCTTTTGTCAGCATGGAAATGGAGGGATTGGCCCCAGCATCTCCCTGAGCACTAGCTATTGGAACAGCAAATGGTTTAGACCTTGAGTTTGTCAGAACACATTTATAATGACCTGAAATCAGGCTACCAGCAATGTCTGTCGGTACCCAGCAACCTTAGCTGAGGGCTGAGCATGGCTCAGCTGAACCAGAAAATTTGGTGCCTTTCAGAGAGAGGAGCTGAACAGTGTGGTGGATCAGGTGCCTCTGGGCTTGTGCTGCCTCTCAAGCAGGGGCAGCGATTGGCCACACCAAGGGAGCTCCCTTAATGCAGGGTCATTTCTCAGCTGAGCCCCGTTTGTGTATGTTTACATACCAGGCATTCCTTTTTGTGTGGCTTTCCCAAAGTTCTGGGAACCTCAGCTCCCAAGGAGCTGAGGGTGTTGGTGAAGTCCCAGCTGCCTGCAGCAGGGTTACCCCTGAGCCAGGCTTTCTGCAGCTGCCTCACACTCTGCAGGAAGCAAGAAGCTGGGGAGTGCAAATTATATCTCTTAGTTACACCTAACGTGCCATTTCCAGCTATGTGTGGCAGGAAGGGGACCTTGTCACTTCGCTTCAAAAAGATGGCATTAAGGGGCATGGGGTGTTGCTGGCATCAAGGAGGAAGGCAGAAGTTTGAGAGTCATGATAAGGGTTCTTGCTGCTGGTAGTGAAATAAGACTCCTACAGAAGAGGCTGGGATGTGGCAAAATCTCTACTTTTGGAGTTACTGCAAAGCTGAATGAAGAGGCAGTGTCTGCATTGCATCACCTGCAGGAGGAGCAAGGGGAGCTTGTATGGGTACAGCTTTTCTGGCTTCACCTCAGGCACAGGTGTCTGGAGACTTTGGGGAGGTCTGGATCAGTGCCCAGGTATAAGCCTCAACGTTTATCCCCTTGTTTCTTATAAACTGAAATGAGATCAGGAAGCCAGACAAAAAAGCCCTGCACCTTGGGGAAGGTTGGGTACAGATGTAGACACTGTGACTTAAGCATCTCTTGAGCAAGAGCACTTAAGACTATTGCAGTGGCCTTAGAGAAACAGGAAGAAGCACTGAATCAGCAAGGGACTGAAAAGCAATCTAGAGAAACATATCTGTAGGCATTAGGAGGTGGGATTTTATTAACCTTATGGTTTCTATCAGCCTTAAACTTAATGTTATAGTATATAGAGAGGAGAAGCAGCTTCTGGCAACTTGATGCTATGTGATACCTCTGTTTAAACAGAGATGTTAGCAAAAAATATCTCCATCTTTCTGCCAGATATTGATTTTCTTCCACACAGCCTCTACTTCAGTGAGAGAGACAGCTCAGGCTCCAGACTTGTGCTGGCTTCACATGCAGGCTGTCTCCGTTTCTGGCCATGTGATGCAGAGCCTGCCCCGTGGCACCTGCAGGTTAGAGGTGTGGTAGCAATAGCATGGAGGCACTGCCCCACTTTGGAGCAGGAGCTTGGAGGACTCCCCTGGCCCAGGCAGGGATGGGCAGATAGATGTGGAGCAACAAAACCATTTACAAGGAGAGTTAGAACCACCTGAAGTCAACAGAGGATTTCCTGAGGTTCATAAACCTCCTGCAGAGACCTAGCTGATGTGGAAGACTGACATTTATGCTACAGCACTGTGAGCGGGGTGGTTTCTCTGAAGTTTTGAACGCTGAGACTTGCCTCAGTGAAATCCAGGAGTGCAAAGCAGCAGAGTCCATAGAGGTTTGATACAAAGGAAATACTCGCCTTCAATCTCTGGCAAATGTTGTACTGCTTTTTAGAGCTCCATCCCAGCCACTAAATAAACCCCAGGCACACCTGCCTGGCTTCAAATCTGACTCTGATGGATGCAAAGCATCCAACTGAGTTTGAAATCGTGAATTCTCAACCCAAGCTTTGGCCTGTTGTGTTTGGTCCCTGGAATAATGGGGAGCAGGAGTACCTTCTTTAGTCGTGAGGGGTGGGCTGGCTCAAAGGTGAAGCCGAAGAGGATGGGTGGAGAGCAGGATGGATTAGCTGATGCACTTCAGCGAGTCACCTTCCCCAGCTTCACCTGCCTTCCGTTGCCTCCTGCAGGAACACGAAGCGCACGGCGGAGGTGTGGATGGACGAATTCAAGCAGTACTACTACGCGGCTCGTCCCGCGGCCCAGGGGAGGCCTTACGGGAAGTGAGTGTCCTTCCCTGCTGCCCGTGCCCTGCCCGCGCCCTGCCTGCTGCAGGGGGTGCCCACGGTGCCCTGCCTGCGCCGCGCCCGGGGGAACGCTCGCTTGGGTGCTGGCGGTGGGCAGACGCTACGAGCACAGCCATCAAACATAAACCCCTGGTTTGTACTGGGAGCTGGTTTATGCCAGTGAGTGAACCAAATCAAGGTGGGGGAAGACCCCTCTGCCTATGTCCTGCCCTTGGCATTAGATACAAGTACTTCTGGTCCCAGAGTGGAGTTTGGCAGAGAGAGTCCAGAGGTCTCGCTGGCAGCTGAGGGGCAGGAAAAGCATCAGATCTGGGGCCTGATAAGGCTTTGTTAGAAAGGAGTGAGTGCTTTGTACGCAGGGAGTTTGCCACTCGTTCTGAGAACAGTCAGAAACGCCTCTCTGTCAGGAGGGCTGTAAGTATTTCTGTTAAGTTCTCATTTTCGTGCACTCTTCCTTTCCTTAGAAAGTTTCCTTTGAACCACAGGGGGTTCCAAATCCAAATTCCTTGCAGCTACTTTTTAATCTCCAGGATAAATAAATTGAGGTCCTGATGACTAACCTATTTCCATTGAATTCGTGTCCTCTTCCCATCCATCAGCACCAAGTGAAATAACAGCTCTGTCCTGCTAAATATATGAGGGTGTAGAGAAGATAGCCTATGAGAAGGGAAAGTACTAGGGGCTTCCTACTGCTCTGTAAATGTCAGCTCATAACAGCTCCATGGGTAGAGGCTGGCTCAGGGAGGGGTTGGAGTTTAGAAAAATGTCACTATACAGCAAGATCCCTCAGCAGAAATCTTGCACTGGTTAATGAAAGAAAGAAGTATTTCATCATGTGAACTTCTGCTGATGGAAAGACATAGTAGGTGCTCCTGGAAACCAAGGTCTTGTGTGGTCCTGTAAACTAAGAGTAACATAATAGCATGTATAAATTTCCTAGTAAATTAATATATTAGATTAATGGTTATTGTATATAGGACATAGAATGCCTTTTTTTTTACTAATAACTTTTTAATGACTACTTTTCCGTGAACCTTTTCATCCGTCTAACTCCAGGCTCCTTGTTATAATGGCAGTAGGTCATCACGCCATTTTACCAAGTGAGACCTCCAAAGAGACCTGCAAGAGAGATAAAACAACTGCCCAGGCTTACGCAGAAGAGAGCAGAAAAATACAGCCGCTGATGCTCTCGTATTTGCTGTCTGTGCATATCTGTTGGGTTTCTCTAAGCCTCCCTGTTTGATGTGTTTGGTCTCACCTTCATGATTTCCATTGTATCTCTGTGATATTTTCTTCCCACAGCATCCAGAGCCGAGTGGAGCTGCGGAAGAGGTTGAAATGCCACAGCTTCAAGTGGTACCTGGAAAACGTTTATCCCGAGCTTCGGTATGGACGTGCAGTCTCCACCTTTCTCTAGCACACTGGTGGGATGCCCCATCCCTCCTGCCCCACAGAGCTTTCCTTGGCACCTCTGGTCCCCACACCTCGCCCTGCCCCAGAGACACGGGCACACCCTCCTTTGGGCTTCACAGAAGGGCACAGTGAATTTTGTGCTGGCTTTAATCACAGCTGGGGCTCACACTGTGACCTGGCTCCTTTGTGATCCTCCTTTCTCAGAGCAATCTCAGAGAGTCTGTGGCTCTTTGCTGCAAGGCTGGTGAGGGGCAAAGCACCAATTACTTAACTCTTGGGGCTTCCTCAGGTATCCCCCTGCCCATGGACAGATGGTATAGTGAAATAGCCTTTTTTCCTTGTAAAAGTATCCCAAGGTGAAAAATCCCCTGTACCTTCTGGTGGTTTGTTTCAGTCCTTAATGACTCCTGCTTACAAAACAAGCACCTCATTTCCAGTCTTTTCACACTGTTCTGTGATACTCATGACTTCTCTGTCATTAAACCACCCACTGTAGGAGTTTATGACCTGTTTTCAGGTGGGTCTGCCATACTCCTAGCCTAATGCTTAATATGCGCTTCTGCAGTTGATTTTGCACAGAACCCCTCTAGTCACCAAAATTACTTCCGAAACCGTTACGTCTATTCCTCCAGTCTCTATCAAAAGCCATCCTCAGAAAGGGTGCAGAAGTTTTGGAGATGCCTCCAGGGACCTGCTGGTGCAATGGCTGAGTGCAGAATGACAGTGTGAAAATGATTTATAGCTGTTTTCTTGCATTCTTTTCCATGTGTAGCATTGCGCAGCAGCATTCACAGGGAATGCCAGGGCTCTATGGCAGTTTTTTATAAAGTTCCCCACTCCTGTAAGCTGAAGGCTGACCTTCAGCCTGCTCACAGTCTATTCCTTGCTCCTGTTTGCCTTGTGTAGTGTTATTAATATTTTCCTCTTAGAAGGCCAGCCATCCATCTCTTGAGTGCTGCTTCTGCAGCATCCCTGTCCACATACTGCTCTCAGTGGTTCAGCACTGTAATAAATCTTGCCACTCTCATTTTCTGGAGGTGAAATGGGGCAACTGCACCCTTTTTACCCACACCAAGCCTCCCTTTGAGTACTGTGTGCCTGGAGGAGTAGGGATGTTCTCATGCTGTTCCCATAGGATTCCTGAGGAATCGCTCTATCAGACTGGGATGATCAAACAAAGGCAGAGCTGCCTGGAGTCACACAAGTCTGAAGCCCAAGAGTTTCCTGTCCTCAGCTTAAATCCTTGCAACAGCAGCAAAGGCATGACAGCGACGGCACAGGTAAGATGTTGCCTATCCCTGTGAGAAGGCTCCAGCACAGGTTCAGGGTGGTTTCCTAAATTGGCTAAAGCTCTGTTGGAGGATTACCCGTTCTGCCAGCTTCTTCCCTAGGGTGGCATGTAAGTAAACCTTGTGAAGTCCTTGGTGGAGGCCCTGGGCAGCAGCAGGGACTGGTGCAGGAGCCACAGGACAGGGTGGGCCACTTCTGTCTTTGCAAGCCTGCACTGAGCACTCATTGCTGCTCAGGAGCACCACACGCCATTCATTTGCAGAGATCAGAGCAAGACAAAAAGAACTATAATTTCCTCTCATCTCTCAGCCTTATTTCTTTCAAAACACACAGAATTGCAGTGGTATTTAGAATTTCATAGTCTGCGTTCTCTCAATATTAGATTGCCTGTTAAACTAGGGAGAATTTAATGAGGGTGATCTCATTTTTTTTCAGTCTCCCTGAGATGAGAAAAGCCATATGAATCAGTGTGCTCAAAAGCACGTTCTGTGAAACATTAGAGCCAAGAGCAGACACGTGTGCCTTGCAGCAGAGTCGCTGGAGCAAGACCCTGAAGACACAGCTTCAAAACCTGCCTTTGCTTTCAGGCTCCCTCTGTGATTTTGGACATGTCAGGAAGTTCTTTCACTGTTCCCATCTATAAAACAGGGAGAATAACAATCAGTCGCTTCTCTGCTGTGCTTGGTTCCACTTGACTGTACATCCTTAACCCTCATGCTTACACATTCAAACCAGGTAGCTGTGCATATAAAAGGCCAAACCTTTTTTCCTGATGAAAAGGTCCCTAGTTTGTATGTGCAAATAAAGCATATCAACAACTCTTTTGCATGCGGTTGCATGCTTGCCATTAGTCAAGAAAATAATATCTGCTTCACAGTCTGGTAGAATCAACAATGACTATTTGAATTTAGTCAGTTTAGAAAATAGAGTGAATATAACTGAAGCACTGCATAGTTACAGTTCTTATGGGTTAACTGGTTTCCAGGCTTTAGAATTCTTTTTCTTCCACCGCTACATGGATTTTTCACACAAACAGCAAGAGAACTGAACTGATGAGAGAAGATCATCATCATGTTTTGCAGGGTCAATACTGCTGCAGGAAAAAAAAAAAATCAGTGACAATTGCAACTTTCAATGTATTGGATGTTTTTTTAAAAAAGTGGGAAAATCAGAATGGAAAATGCTGCAAGCTACCACTTTAAAATGAAATAGCATTGGTCTTTCAGAAATATCAATTTGATGTGATATTTTAAAATGAGAAATGTCATGCCAACAGGTTGGACTGTTTCGCTCCCATCAAACACATTGTGTTTTGACATTTCTGTGGTGTAAATTTTGGGAATTTTTCATGCCAGAAACTTTTAATCTTCCTGTTGTGATTCTGCAGCAGTTTGCAATAGGTCAAAACTTCCCACTGGATGGCAACTGCCTTTCTTGTGCACATCCAAGACTAACTCTGCAGGGGAACTGAAAAAGGCACTACAAACAGGTTGCTGAATAGCTACACTCAATACACAGGCAGGAATAGAGAAAAACATTTTCCTTTTATATTTCTCTGTCTTTCTAGGATAACTTCTGTTACTTATACCCATGGAGAATATTTCAGATGAAAGCAGACTATTTAAAATTTTATTGTAAAAAGAAACTTGCATTTTCGTAACACATTGTTACAAGACCACCTGAACTTGTGGATGACATGGGAGTTGTAGTCACCGGGCTGTGAAGGATAGACTATGCAGCAGTCCGGAATGCTACTTAGTTACATATTTGGTGCACCAAAATAGAGCAATAATCTTCACTTTCAGCATACTGAAGCCACATCTTGTTTATCCTAAGCTTCATTATTTGAAAAACAGGCTTAGTTAAATCAAAGCTGTGCTTTCCTGGCATTCATTGAGTGCTATGGAGATATCCAGGTCTTTTATTAGCAGCGTTAGAAGCACTAATTTGGTTGCTTGATTGCCCTTCTGTAGCTGCCTCCTTACTAGGCTCCCCAAGCTCTTTACCAACATTGCACACATGAAGTCCTGGGCCCAGGTGTGAGAAGATCTGAGCTGTCATACCTCACCATGGTTTGAGGAGAGAGGAACAGGAGCTGTCGGATGGCAACCAATTGCTCTTTGTTTTAGTTTTTCTTATCAGTAGTGCAGGCCGAGGATGTTGCCCTGTGGTCCCATCCGTAATTTGGGTAGATAATGAAGATTAGTCTGATTGTGGCGAGGCAGATCTCACAAACCCTCCCTGGTGGTGTTTGCTATTAGTCCTGAATTACTAAAAGGATCCCTGAGGCACAGGAAGACCTCTTGTCTTTGTGTAGGAGAGCTCTGTCTTCTCACCCCTGGGATCCAAGTGGCCCTTCCCTCTCCAGAGGGTCTGGTAGCAGTCGGGGCAGGCTCTGTCTCCTGGGGTGCCTCTCTAAGGGACCTGCTCTTGAGATAGTGACTGGCAGAGATCTCTGTGCAATGCTGCCCATCGCCAGGGTACAGCAGGCTCTGCCTGCACTCCTGCCTGCCAGAGCCTTGATACTCTTATCTCTTGTTGTATCTCATTTGCTAAATTAACTGATTGGTTTAGTTCTTCACAAGAGAGTTGCATCTGGGGGGAAATAATTGATCGTAATTTTGCCCTGGTCCATCTGATGAAGTTGTGAGTGATTGGTTTTCTTTTCAAACAAAGTGTCAGCTGACCTTTGCAATAGACATCTGACTCTGGGATTTATTTATTAAACCATTTATCATTAGCAATTCCATGAAACCTGATATACTTCAGATAAAAAAAGCAGGAGATGCTTCAGCCTGGATACTCACACACATGTAAGCACCAGCGGATGAAAGATGAGCATAAAGTTAGTCATCTCCTAGATAAGTGAGGAAACAGTGGGAAGGTTCTATGATTCTATAAGGTTGCAACGTCTGTTTCCCTGGCCTACACCCCAAAATATCTGGGCCTTGAAGGTGACATGCTGCCATTGCATTTGGGTGGCATGTCCTTGACTCTTATTGTGAAGGAAATGCAGTGTGATAATCTGCCTGATGTGACATTGAAGCTTACCCCAGCTGGCTCAAGGACCTCTGTGGGCTGAGCAGATCTGCACTTTCTTTAGAGAATATTTAGCATCTATCCAGGCTAACCTGACAGTGTCCCTCCTGAGACATGCTAACCATAAGAATTCTCTTCTGACCTTCCTCCTCTCCAAAACTCTCATTCTTCTCCTCCGTGGGCACGTCCTGCCCCGGCTGTAGGCCAGCTGGAGCTGCAGGAGCTGGGCTGAGCCAGGAGAGCAGAGGGGCTGGCTGGCAGCAGTGTCACCCCTGCACCCAGGCTGCCATGGGCACTTCTTGTGCATTGCTTTCCCCTCTCCTGAGATGTGTGTAAGTGCTAGTTGCATCCAAGGGCCTTGTGATGAGTGAAGCACTTTTGTATCATTAGGTGACCCATGCAGTCATGGGCCTTGGGAAATCCTACCCTGTGATTTTAAAAAGATGATTGAGGTCTGAGATTGTTCCTGGCTTCTTCAGAAATGTTTCTCTCTAGCCGCTACCCCAGCTTCGGGGTACAGCTGACCTCTTGCTTGGCAGCAGACCACGTACAGCTCTGTCACGTAACATTGGGCTCCCATGAAGTTGCTCCTTGCTATGCTGAGGGACTGCTTTCTCCTGCCAGTCAGGCTATGCTAAGCCAAAGGTCACGTTTTAAAATAATTTCCTCAATTCACAGTGATGCTGAGTAACAGTGACAGGTGCCTGCTCAAATGATGCTAAAGCCTTGAAAAATAGTCACAAGATTCAGATGGGGGTTAGTGTTATCCAAGGCTTTGGAGGAAAGGGGTTGATGGTTGTGATGTGCAGGTGGCAGTTCTGCTCTCTCAGTCCACCCTCTTCCTCCCTACTCCACCACCACTCCATCTTTGTCTTAGAAAAGATGGGCAATCTTCATCTCAGTTTCACCTCCTGTGTCTGTTTTCTTGGTTCCAGGGTCAGCTCTAATTGGCGTCTCTTCAGGCCAGTCTGCAACCCTGAAGCCACATTAACTTCTTGAAGGTGTCTCTTCTTAGGAGTTCCCTGGGCTGCCCCATCCACCACAACCTCTGGGGTGCAAAGCTCTGCTATTTTTAGTGCTGTGCTGGCCACGTGAGTGCTCTGTGTGCCAGGGTTTAGAAGATAAAGTTGTTTCTCATGGGAAAAAAAAGCAGGATTTTTCATCCCAATTAATAGATATAAGGGAGGAGATTGGGTAAGATAAAAATTTGCATGGCCATTTGCCTGTGTTTTAACTGAAAGTTTTTCATGGCATCTGTGGTATTCTAGCGACTTCCCCATCCCCGAGTTTCTTAATTTTCTGTGTAATTTTCTCTGGCTTTCATCTAGTGCTAAAAAGAGACAAGAAATGATTAGAACTAGATAAAACATTTTCAACAGGGCTGGCTTCCATAAAAAACCCGTCTGCCAAACTAGAAGAGCCATGTGAAAATCTGTCGTTTTAGATAAAGGCAGTAGCAAGACAACTTGGGGGCAAGAGGGGAGGATCCAATGTCAGGCATTGGACTGATGTCTATATCCATCTCTGAAGGCTTTGTTTCTTGTGATGAAGAGCAGTTTAGGGGAGATGGTTACCACCACCCTGTCTATCCAATGGTGCTTTGCTGTGAGAGAAGATGGTCCTGGCTTAAGGGGATGTGAAAATTAGGAAGGCTTGAACAGAGCCTGCCATGGAAAAAGAGCATGGAGAACCTCTGGGAGGAGCAGTCCTCCATGAGGTGCCTCAGTGAAGCCAGGAGGTTATGAAATCAAAGCAGAAGAAAATAAATCCCATGGTCTGAGTTAGTTGTGGGATTCAACACACGTACGAGTTACAGGATTAACTTGCTGCTGCTGGGGAGCCTTATGGGTGCAGCTCCAGCCCTCTCCTGAGCTAAAATGATGAACAATTGGTTAAAAATGTAAAGCAGGTTTTCAAAGCAGCTTGTAGCAGCGTGGGCTCCAAGAACAGGTGTTGGAACTTGCCCCGTAGGGCTTGGTTCTTCACAGATGCAGGACTAATTTGGCACCTGATTTCCCAGGCTGGTGGTTTACGCAGCAGCTGACAGTGTGCATGGTTGGGATGTCTGGAACGTGTTCTCTGTAGGATCAGGTAAACTGTTCCATCTGACAAAGAAGAAGTAGTTGCCAGAAAGCCCTTCAGGAGCAGAGTGCAGCTTTGAAAATGAATACTTGTTATGTGCTGAAATCCTGGGCAGCTTTCACTGAGAAACCTGTGGGCAGGCTGTTTAGAAAGCCAGGTTTGATTTCCAGTAGCTGGTGAGGAGTAGTAGGCTGAGAAGTGCAGGGTGTGAGGCACACAGTGTGAAGTCCTTGTGGATTTGGGTCTGCTGTGCAAAAGCATGTTCTCTTTTCCAGGTGGCCGAGAAGCAGAGTGAAGCAGGATTTCTGTTCCCAGGAATTAAATGCCTGTAGCTGTCTGTTTTGAAGTTGGGGAGAGGAGTTAGAGCTGCTGATGGTGACAAATACCAAAGGGTGGAAGAGTTTCCCTGCTCTAATAACTCATGCTAATGCAACCCAAAGCTTCCACCATTCAAAGTCAGGGGGAGCTGCAGGTGTCCCAGCTCAGGACAGCCATTCTTCATGTCTCTCTCCATCACTCAGAAGGGGTTGCAGGCTCCCAGGAGCACGTTTTGCACTTCATTTTTCCAGCCCTGGGCTAACTGCCATATGTTTGAGCCCTGCCTTACCCTCCGTTGGCAACACCCCTGCTCTCTTCCCTCCTCCTGGAGCTCCGACTCCTCCACATCTGAGCTCTCCACTGTTTTGTTTTCTCCTGCACCTCACCTTTTCTTTCACAGCATCTTTCCCAGTTCTCATAGCCCATATACTGTCAAAGCATTTGCCTTGGCTCTTAGGGCCTACTGAGGAAACCTTCCTGCTCCCTGGCCTTGTTCTCTCCAGCATGGTTATTGCCCTGTGCTGGTGAAGGCAGCCTGCTATTTGTCCTCCAGTCCTGCTCAACTGCCCTGCCATGGCAGCCTGCTTTCCATTTGCTCCCATTGCTGCTCACCTGACTGCTATCTCAGAGCCATTTACACAGAAGGAGCTTTGCACCCTGGCTGAACACCCTCAGAATCCCCTTCCAGCCCTCCTCTTTCTAATTTTAAAGTCAATGCATGCACAAAGTTATAAGCAAAAAATTTGTTCTGGAAGTCACTCTCCAGAGTTATGTAAAAGCACAGTTGGTGGTTTCCCACAAGCCAAAGCAGCTCTTGTCTGACTGTGTACACACACAAACAGGAGAGAGACATCCCTTGCCTGGGCAGGATCAGATTCCCCAGGAGGTGCTTTTGGGTAATATGAGTACAGGTGAATGGTTGAAAATGTTCAACTGGAATGAACATTGGGGTAAACTTCTCTGAAATACTCCTGGGCTAAGCAGTGTATCTGTACATGATGCATGATGCTTTGTCCAGCACATTTGGAAATCCTGCTTGAGCTACTTCTGTTTTTCTCCCAAGTAAAACATGCGCAGGTGAAAGAGGATGATCCCAGAGAGCCCCTGTTGTGTGGTAAGCTTTACTCAAGACAAAGTCTTTGCTCCTTCAAAGTTTATTTTTTTATCAGCTGAGGAGCTGATAAAGAGCAGAACATGAAAAGGAGCATGAGAGAAATAATTCCAAGAAAGGAAGGGGAGTAGCAGTCGTAGCTAACCAGTACAGCAAACGTTTGGAGTTTGGTCCTCCTCCTGTGATATAAAGCAGAGCTTTACCCCTGATTTTTGTGATATTTGGGAACAGAATCCCGGGAGTTGCAAACATTTGCTATGTATCACCCCCTCTCTCCTGCTGCCAGCTGTAAAGCATTTCTGCCACTCTTCCTCACGAAAAGAGGATTACACATTATGCGTAGTATTTCTGCTTCTCTTTTGCTGCCTTCCCATCCCTCTGTTCCCCAGCCACAGCCCAGTTCTGGCTATGAAATCTTTGCCACTCAAACCATTTTCTTGCAGCAGCCTTTGTAGACGTTTTCTGTGGCACATGCAGTCCCCAATGACAGCTGCAGTTCTGGGGAGGGTCGAAACATCCTTGTGCCTTTTGAGGTCAGTGAAGTTTGTGCTTGATTTCAGGTGGGGCAGGATCCAAGCCAAAGTGTTTGTTTTCCAGGTAGAAGAATACCAAGAGTCAACCCTAATCTCTCACCTCTTGATTTTTCTTTCTCTTTGTAGGAATGGACGTATACATACAACCACCAAGTCCGCCAGCAGCAGCTGTGTTTGTCTGTGTACACCCTTTTCCCTGGTTCTCAGGTGCTGTTGTTGCCTTGCAAAGAGAGTGACAACAAGCAGGTGAGCCCTTTCATTGATCCCCGTTTTCTCTGAAGTTCCCTTTCTTTCATTGGGGTATGACTGCACATCAAGTCACCCCTGTGCTCTGACTTCATTTGGGAAGCACAGTCTGCCTGGGAGCAGAGACTCTGTCCTGTTCAGCCCTTTGCTTCTTAAATGAGTGTGTTGATAAGGATGTCTATTAGTGTGGGTGGTGATCTGGATACTTAACTGCAGAAGTCAAACCAAAACTGGCAATTTAGTTCACACGGGCTGCCAGTCAGCCAGCAGATGCTCACAGTTCTCTGCAGTTAATCATGGAGCTGGCATTTGAACCAGTGACCTGGGGAGAAAGCTGTTAGCAATATATTATCTTCCTGAAGCCAAGCAGAGGCTGAGCTTAAAATGACTGTGCTCCTGACAGGAGGAACGCTCGGCGTGTGCTCTGCTTGGTGTGGGTTTGGGGACCCTGTGCTACCTGGCAGCAGGCTGCAAAGGCTTAGTGACAACTGTTCTCTTGATGCTGGCTGGAGCAATATAGTCAAAGCAGAATGAGGAGGAATCTTGTTCACCCGTTTCTCCTCTGGTGTGTGTCTCTCCTCAGCGATGGGGCAAAGTTGGGTCACATATTGAACATATAGCTTCACGCTTCTGTTTGGACACTGAGACGATTGGGGACACGAATGAGAGTACCAAAGAACTTGTCATCAACCCTTGTGAGAGCACGGCCTTGAGTCAGCGCTGGGACATGGTGATGTCTTGACCCAGCGGAGGACTTAGCGGGGATAGGTGCGGAGACGTTGCACCATGCAGGCAAGATGCACCAGGTGGAGCTCAAATGCAAGACCATTGGGGGTCCTGGTGTATTATGGGACAGGAGAAGAATCATTCAAATAAAAAATAAGGACACAGCACTCCCGGTTGAACAACGGATACTGTCTGCAGGACATGCAGCTGGTATTGAACTGTTGGCGGTCAGACATTCAAAGACGGGATGGCAAAAGAATGAACTTGAAATGCTTTAGAGGGATACTGGTACTCCTGCACTGGGCCCTACACAAGTTCAGTGTGCACAGTACCGATTAATCTCTGTGGAAACACAGGTAGAACAACCTTGGAGACCAAAAGGAGACTTGGATTCAGCAAAACAAGTTTTTTTGGGGTGAGGCAGGTGCACAAGGAAGGATTTGCCTGGGATTGAGTGGAAAACACTGAATTATCTTTGCACTTTTCATTGCTGTGGATGAGTTCATCTTCTGCAGATGACGTGGGTGGAGCAGTGTTGCACGTTTGAATTTGCCTGATCCACGTACATCTTGTGTGTACAGAGGCACAACAGTCATTTATTTGTGGCTGTGGCCACAAACCAAGGAGTGATGGGGGAATCCTGCTCTGTGCTAACTGCATATGGGGGTTGTTGAATCTCCAAAGCCCAAGCAAACAGAGGATTCAGTGTGTGAGATTAGAGGATATAAACTGCTGTAAAGCTGGGAGGAAAGGCAGTTAACATGATTATTTCTCCTCTCTGAAGGCCATGGATGAGCCTTGGTCACTGAAAACTCCCCTCTCACTCTGTCTTTCTCACTGCTTCAGAACTGGAATAAGTAAAATTTTCACTTTTCTTCCATAAAAGTAATATTTTTGGTAATTGAAGGTAATGGTGTGATATTTCTGTTTCCCAATTTCCTAACAACAGAAGAGGGGACTCCCATGAAGTGCTGCTACTAAAGGAATGGAGGAGGTAATGAAAACTAGAGACTGCTCTGAGAAAGGGATATTACCTGGTTTTGCTTCCCAGGTATCTTGTAGCCCAAGATGTGAAGTACTGAAGGAAAGGTTCGGGATTCCTTCAGTCACACCTGTGAGCAGGGAACTCTGGGTCACAAAGTACCTCTCTCCCAAAGTCATTTATCATTGGCAGACTTGGCAGAAATTATTTCTTCAGCTTTTGGAGATAAGTCATTAGCCCCAGAGGTTATGCTAAGTACAATCATTGTGCAGGAGGGAGGTGACTGCCAAAGGAAAATAGGACAGAACACCTCAGAAGGGGTCTTAGGAATGGAAGACTGGAAGATCTTTTCCAGCCTGTCTTCCAAAGCAGCTCCCACAACAGCAACAGGTAAGAGGCAGTGAATCACCAAGAGCTGTGCACACGGCAACTGTTGAAGAGAACTTTTGCAGGACTGTCAGCATAATGAAAAAAAAAATACAGTTTGTGCCTCTGAAAATGCTAGGGCTTAATGAAAATCCTATCCTGTGTTTCCTGTGCTGCAAACTATAGGTAAAACACCATAAGCTTTGAGCCTTTGAGTGCTCTCAGCATCCCTTCCTGAATAAATTGCTGGCTTTCAGGATTTTACTGCCTCAGTTTCTCTTCCTTCAGTGCTGGAAGAAAGCCACGTGTAAATCTCCCTTGGCTGTAGAGGCAGAACCAGTATAACTCTTTTTATACAAAGGGTGGCAGGGTATAAAAGCCTTCCATGTGCTGCAGTGATTACTAACCTCATCAAGCTCCCTTGGTACAAACTTCAAGGGCTTCTGTTATGAAAGGGCTGGAGCAAGCTGTCATTTCATGGTGGGAGACGGTATTGTTTCCATGTCACCACTTGTGCAGGAAACAAAGGGAACCACTTAAAATGGAAGGGACTCATTTCACAAAGAAGGGCAGTGACCTTGGGCTCCTTCTATGTAATTGAACCAGGAAATATCACACCTGCTTATCACACCGGTGGTGACAGGCAAGTGGTAGTAATTCCCTGCCTAGTGCTTACAAGGGAAAGCAGCTCCCAAGAGCTGGAGGCTTCATGTGTTCAAACCTGCACTGTGCCTGCACCTGGGGGCTGCCCAGCTGCTGGCACTTTGATTCTGAAGATTCAAAGAGATGAACAACTTGGCATCACTTTTGAAGCCCAGCACCTGACAGGTACACTCTGAGCAGGACTTCAGACCTATCTAGCTTTATTATTTTTCACCAAAGCTGACAATATCCATTCTGCTGACAGCCAAACCTCTCTAAACAGGTAACGCTCTTCTTTGCCTTAGCATAAATAGCTGCCTTGGTACATATGTGTGCTTGGCCACGTGAACTCATGGGAGCAGCAGGGATGTATTCCAGGAAGAAGTATTTTGACCAGCTTTTCAGCTCTCTTACCTTTTGTGAAACCCAAATGCTGTACCAAAACCCTACTATTCCAAAACACATGCGAAGGTGGTCACTGTGAACTTGTTTGGGGGCAGTGGAAGGCAGGCAGTGGAGAAGGTGACATCAGGCATGGTGTCCCCTACCAGAGAGTGTCATTGTTCAGCTAAGTCTCTTGCAGGCCCAAAAGCCACCAGGTACCTCACAGACAAAGGGAGCAGCAGCCAGTCAGCAAACTGGTGATCGTGTCTTGCATCCATCACATGTAACCCTTAGACTGCAGCTTATTTCATGGTCCAATAAATGAGATTAGCTCTGTGGATCAGCAGTCTTTTCAGAGAAGTCAGAGGCTATCAGTCTGGCTCCTGGGAAGCTTTATGTAAGCAGGCAGTGGACTGGCAGTCTCCAGAGTTAACCCCAGTATGGCATTTAGCAGATCTTTTGCTTGGCATCCCTGCAAAGAGACCTTGCATCATGTTAGGGGGAAAGTTAATTGCTGCTGAAATCCAACTCATACCTTTAGGTTTATTTCACTGATTAAAGTACATTGGAGATAGATGAACCTTTTTTGCTTTGTATTTGTTACTTGCCTAGACATTTGTTATCTTGCTGTGAACAGCTATAGATGACAACATCGATAGGTGTTTCTAGATGGGCTCCTATGCCCATACCTCTTACTACCAAATGACATTAGGGCTTAATGTTTTTTGGTAACATTTCATACTGACTTGAAAGAACAGGAGATAAAGTAGAAAATATGTTTCTAATCCTGGCTGTTGAGCTTTGTGAGCTCCAGTAAGTCACTTGTGCCTTGGGAAAATTAGATGCAGAGCAGGAAACTCAGGGGTAGAACTACTTCTGCCTTTTAAAGGGCTGACCAAAGCTATGCCAAAAAAAACCCAACCCAAACCAAACAAACACCTAAAAAAGCATCTTAGCCTTCGCGTTCCCTCCCAAAGGAGATCTGTGTTCTAGTGAGAGGAAATCTGTCTGATTTTAGTTGGACTGTGGAAGTTGTACAAGTCCTTACCTTGCTGCCTATGTGATTTTTAGGTATTTTGTGTTCATCCTCTCTCTGTACCAGTGCAGCACCATAAGAACACAAAGCATTAGTGCTTGGAACCTCAGCTTACAACCAGCTGATGCAGTAAAGAGAGAGAAACTGAATTCAAAGCTCTTTTATTATCCAGTGATGCAGTGGGAAAATGGGGTTGGTGGGTGAAGACTGTGGGGCTGTGGTTCAAGACAAGTACCAGCCCTGAGTGCTAATCCCTTCTTCAGCTTCTAGGAGTTACTTGGGATAGCTTATGTACAGAGTCATAAAATCACTTTGGTTGGAAAAGACCTTTAAGATCATTGAGTCCAACCATTAGCCCTACTCTACCAAATCCACCTCTCAGCCACATCCCCAAGCACCATATCTACACTTTCCTGCCTTGGTTTCACAGACTTTTAGTGAAGATTGAATGTTTTGAACAGAGAGAAAACCAAGTAGTAGTTTCTGTGGCATGCAATACCAGCAGTACTGGGCTGACAATGGACTGGCAGTCCCTGGAGTTAGCTCCACAGACCCTTATTATCTGCCTGTACAGGGCCTGGTTTGGATGGAGTTAATTTTCCTCAAAGCAGCCTCTATGATGCTGTGTTTTAGATTGGTGACCAAAACAGTGTTGATAACACATAACAACGTTTTAGTTATTGCTGTGCTTGCACAGTGTCAAGGCCTTCTCCATCTCTCACTCTGCTGCCCCAGTGAATAAGCTAGGTTTGGGCAAGAGGTTGGGAGGGAATGCAGCCAGAACAGCTGACCCAAACTGATCAAGACACATTATCTCATACCATATAATGTCACACTCAGCAGTAAAACTGGGGGAGAATTTTTCCACAGTAGATGTTGTTCAGAGATTGGCTGGGCATGACTCTGAAGGTGGTGAGTGACTGCCTTTGCATCACTTGGGTGTGTTTGGGTTGGTTTTTTTTTATTTTTCTTTCAATTTCCTTCACTTACTAAACTCTCTTTTAAACCCACAAGATTTTCTCACTTTTGCCCTCCTGATCCTTTTCCCCATCCTGTTTGTCAGGGAGGGGACAGGGTCAACCTGCCACACTGCCCTAAGCAAACAGGGGCCCATAGTGTAACAGGCTGGTATTGTTCATGGCTTGGACTCTGATCACAACTGTGCAATAGGATCTGTGCTGCTCGAATTTCAGATCTAAAAAGCTTTAGTGAAAACCTGTGGGCTAGAATTGTTTGTAGGAGTGGTAAAGGAAGCAAAATCAAGAAGATTACATGCAGCAGAAGAAACTGTAACTCATTAATGTTCTGGCTAAATTAATTTTGAATGGTCAACCTATCTCCAGTTTTAATATTACGTGACTGCTTTAGATGGTTGAAGAGTTTAAGGAAGCCTGACATGGGTATCCTGCTCACATTGAGACTTATGGGCTAAAATTCAGTGGAATAATTCCAGATTTATGGATGTTTTCCATATGTCTACTGTTCTCTTGCTGGAAGTGCCTTCAGAACCCTGTAAGAATAAAAACCTGTTACAAGCTACTGCCTCTCCAACTGAGTCTAATTAAGTTTTGAGTTGAGCTGCGTTTTTAGCTTAGAGCTGACAGAA